AATCATGCTGGAGTCGTAGTGAATATGTAGCCATTCAATGTGAGTTGTCTATTTGAAGTTGGGAAGATATTTACCAGCTCATGATGTCACATGAGAGTTGATTATAGTGGTGATAATCATGCTGGAGTCGTAGTGAATATGTAGCCATTCAATGCGAGTTGTCTATTTGAAGTTGGGAAGAGATTTGCCCGCTCATGATGTTACATGAGAGTTGATTATGGTGGTGATAAYCATGCTGGAGTCGTAGTAAATATGTAGCCATTGTATGTCAGTAGAATAATTTTCCAGTTAGCAAGCGATTTGCTAGTCGATGTTACGCTGAGAGTTGTGGTGTTGTAAGATTCTAAGTCGTTGAATGGTGTCCTTAAGATTCTAAGGTTGTAAGAAAGTTGATTATGCGGTGAAATTTGGGTGTGATGGTATGAGTTAATTGCAGCTTAGCTATTTATTGTACTGAAGTATCGTAACTGTTGTACCTATCAAGGGAAGTGTTGTGGTGGCACGTATTTGGGTGTGGCTGCGATCACCTGTGGTTGCTAATATTGCTCAGGTTTAATTACATTCGGAAAAGGTGATTAAAACTATTGCAGCCAGTATGTTTGGGGATTTGGRTGGTGAGTTTGGAGAAAAAAGGTTAATGAACAGACATAACTATACCTAAACTGAATTCTAGATTACTATAATAGATGATAACAGTTATGTCGGTCATGAAGAATGATAAAAGATGTCAAAGCAGTACCACATTAAACATTAAAACGAACGTGATCTGGGAAAACAATTTCAGCATATTCTAAACACTTTCGCAACACGTTTCGTACAGCAAAGAATATTGTAGAACAGTAGCACGTGCAGAAGATAAGTTTATTAGATACTGGCTCCACATTAAGAAGTGTGATACAGATTATTCACCAAAGCGGTCGGCGAGATGAAACAATACAAGAGAAGTGCTAACATACCTTACAGTATTCTTCTCCCTGTGAATCAGTTTACATGCAAATTGTCACGCCTTTTGGATTGAAGGACGGCCAAACGTACCTTCCTGTTTGCCAGCACGTACTCCGAATTTCAAGTTATTGGTAGTAATTTTAGAGAGCTTGTTGGCATCAGTCTTTTATTGCTGTAGATGTTAAAGAGAATTTTTATGTTATTTTATTTAACTTCAACTACGATAGATATGGGTTGAAGTTAATTTATATAGGCTGGGCACTCCCACAACTGCATGGCCAATTACTCTGGACCCAAACTCAACAACACTGAATTTATCTCTATCCCACAAGTATTAGAAACCCTTTTTGATGTGCAGCGTTTCATTAGATATCAATCAGTCTTTGTCATTAGATTTTTCTCCATCTTCTTTCTTCAATATTTGACGAGTATATTTGGTACAAAAAGCGCAGTGAAATGCGTTGTATTGACAAAACGGTATAGGTGACAGAAAGCCATTTGACAACACACACCAAATATTTGCCTATAMCCGGAGAGTATTTTTATGGTTAAAATTTGTATGCATAGCAAATGTTGGTAAAATAAAWAATAAAAAATAAAAAGAATTGTRAAACTGTTTGTCTTGGTATTYCTTTTTTTTTACTAAACTAAATCGCTCGGATCGGTCTTGTCGGACACTATCTGTCTTGAACTCATGGCACGTTTTTTAACAARTAAAGCCTTAAAGGCAAGAATAGAAAGCCTTATTTTGCTAAGCAAAAGCGTACGTCGTTTTGCCTGACTTTATCAGCCCTCTGTGTCATAATTTTCGTCCGATGTATATACAAATATGCATCTCCTCATCCGTTTGCATGTTTCCTGTCTCGGGCCCTTGATTTTGCCCTTGAAATATTCTTGTTTGTACGACTCGCTGGCTGCCTCGTTGAAAATCCGGCTACATTTTTTGTTTTGATTAAGCCAACGCAAAATCTGCAGTAAATTCCTTATAAAATTACACTCATGAACCTATCACACATTTGCAAAACATCTTGAGTARTGATTTCGGGAGGACTTCAGTAGGAACTCAGTGACAATGAACAAAAAATCAATATCAAGAGGGAAGAAAATAGGGACTTTAAGATTTGCAAAATCTGCGACGGCGACGTCAACCGGAAGTGTAAATAACTTCACTTTTGGGTTTCGCGTCTTCAAAGTCTGTCTTCCCTGTGGATGAGTTGACTTTAACGACAATGTTTGAAATGAAATCTCCGATGAACAGAACCCAAGAGAGAAATTATTTACACTTTCGGTTGGCGTCGCCGTCGTAGATTTTGCAAATCTTAAAGTCCCTAATGATTGTCGAAAGACGTCTTGAAATGGAAAAAAGATACTGGAGTACTAGTTAAAGAGTGTTGAGAGATTTCTCCTTCAGCAAAAGATTTAACMACAGTATTCTTTATACTATTACGAGTTATTTCTGCTGTGTTTCAGGGGCTTTCAAGTTGTTTACACTAAATTGAACCTCAGGCGAAATYAAAGCAAGTTTCCCATCCACAAACCCATAAAATAAAGTGAGTCTTGATGGACATTAAGAAAAATGAAAACTAAGTTTTCTCGTAAAGATTTAATGTAGTGGGTGTACGTTTTCTTATTGTGTTGATTGGAAATAAAATGAGAAGAAAAAAAAGATTGAAAGTTGTTAAGTTTATTGGTCGGTTATCAAAAATAGAAGAAAGRCGGACTTTCGAAAGCAGCACAAAACGAAGTAAACAAAAACTAAAATKTTTTATCACTGAGAAGAAATTTTAAATAGAGTCTCTCTCTCGTAGAATTTAGGATTCAGGAAAGATGTTATTAAGCAGATTACCAGAACTAAAATAAAAACTGATAAAAGGATATAKTTTTCAATGAAACAGTTTATTTTCGCTTTTCAAATTCGAAATCAAGTGATTTTCTTTTTGACCAGGTTACAGAGACGAAAATAGTTTTTTCCCTATTCTCCACGGGTATCGTGCAAAGTTAAAATAGGACAATGATTGTTGAAACGATCGCGTATGAAGAAAACTTGTGTTTATACAATTTATAGACACAGCCCAGTATTGTCATGTACAATGTGTTTAAAGATAAGCAGAGCAGGATAGAAAAAAGATATCTCAAGATTCACAGCAACACATTATCCAGGGATGTAGGTCGATAATATCTGCGAGATTATCAAAGATTTACAACATGATTATGGCGCACAAAAAGGAAAGAGAAGTTTCTTAGTTTATCTTAGATGTAAAATCTGAAGCAAACTCTTAGCGATACACCCGAAGAAAAAGGAAGAAAAAAAAAAGATAGAAAAAAAAAAAAAAAAAAAAAAAAAAAAGAAAAAAAGAAAAGAAAAGAAAAGAAAAGAAAAAAGGGTTCAGTCGTAGTATAATAAAAACTGATTAATCATAATTGAAATGTGATTAATAAGGGAGTTCCACGCGAGCTGTTCACGAATTTCAACCCGCAAAAGCTCTTAGGATCTCAAATGTCACTTCTTGCGGTAAAAATTACTTTATTCCTAAAATTTTACCCCAGGCCTAGCAATAAAGGCATTTTTGTCTTCCTCGATAATTTTGTTAGTACAAACTGCCTGCCTAAACGGTTGTGACATGGACAGAGAGATCATTCTCTCGACGACCTCGGGCTAAAAAAAAAACAAAAAAACGAGGAATCAGGATTTGAAGGATTGAGGATCGCGGATACTTTTGATTTTGGGTTATTTTGTAGATTATGAGGTAAAAATAAAAATATTTAATGATTTTTCTTCATTAACGTTCTTGAGAAAAGTTAATGTGTTATTTTTATATGACTATTCTTAAGGACGCGACCGGAATTGAATCAATTTGCTAGGAATGATGCCATGGACATGCTTTATATTATTGTTGATCAAACCATGGTGAAATGAAAAGAAACATCAGGGACCGTATATCTGTTCTAGAAAACAACAGAAACGCCGCACAAAAATATGTTAGAATAGAGAATAAATATATAACAATGTCTGTTGATCTCCTTTGCAAGACAGCCTTCCTCACTTGGTGTCATTGGCAGTAAAAATGATTTRAATTATTTAAAAGCGCATAGAAAGAACATAAATTGAATAACAAAGAAGACGGGTATTTTTGGATCCCTTTGTTGCTGTTATTATCACTAGGCTTGTTCCTAGTGGTTGTCAGTGGTCAGTGTGGAATGATTGACCACGTAGATGTGGTTTAATGATACATCATCACTGAGCTTCATTGTGAAACCCTGAATACTAATTCACTCCTTCTTCAACGCAAGCACACGCAAAAATCTTAGTAATATCCAAGTCAAATTTGCCATAATCCTCTTCCAGATCGATCTCCTTTCTTGTCGAAGCAATAGACAGAGCCAAAGGATTAACAAAATAAATTATTAACTAGGATAATCCGTGTGGGTCGGCAATCTTCGAARAATACAAAACTGTGTTAATAAATTAATACGTTGAGAGCGAACGTCGAGACAGATGAATGTAGTTCCCTACAAGTAAACGTATCGTAAACGGCCCGTTGACTTGTTGGTTTTGTCCTTCTTTAAATTTCAGTCATCCACCTAGCCTTAGCACTAAGGAAATATCTTTAAGTCAGCTTTAAGGCCGATGTTTCGGTGGTAAAATAAGACTACACAAAACATAGCATTAGGCCTTGGATATTTTGAAATTAGGGCATGTTTCATGGGGAATTACAGTCAAAATCTCGTGAGATACCAGTCTTGCGGAGTCAATAATGCTAAACAATGCAAACATCAACTTACAACTGCAGAATTCATGTAATAAATGGATGTAAGGCAAACAAGAGTGTTGGGTTGTCAATGCTAATTTTGACTGGACCGAGAGGCAGAGACGCGCGAAATTTAATGGCATAGTCGTATCCGTTAAAACTAGAACTATCTGCCTCCAATTACCGCGCTGAAACCTAGTCAGTAAATGGAAGTTCATTTATAATCTCAAAGGAACAGCTATCTTCAGAAAATGGTGGCCGAATATAGCTAACATTTTTTCTATTAATCAAATTTTTACTTGGGCTGGAATAATCAAGCTGTGAAGTAGGTTTTTGAATATGAAATGCAAAAACAGATTGATTTATAGACATTTGCGCAGCTCTCCCGGTCATGCCAGATGTTCACTGGCTCATTCAATAAGAGCTGTGCGTCAGAGAGCATCTCTGTCATTCTTTTCGAGGCATCGTGTCGTAAACGAGAACGTGAGTACAGTTGCGTGATACCATCAATCGTGTTCAGATGTGTTGAAGTCCGTTAGTGGTTTCATAAGATTCTGAAGCTCAAACGGTTCATATTCCGACCATTAGCACTGACATTCACCAACAATATGGTCGTCAACAACACGACTTTAACTCGCTGCGAGACACACATTAAGTACGACATCGTTTCTACTATTGCTCAGGCGAGCTTTGTCATTTTTATACTCTTGCTCGACGTGTGTGGAAACTGCTTGGTTTGTGGAGCCATTCTCACCTATCGTCGTCTTCGGACTGTCACTAACTACTTTATAGTGTCGCTTGCGGTTAGCGACCTTTTAGTAGCTGGGCTCTCGATGCCCTTTCGCATTCACCACACTCTTCACTCAATGTGCTGGGATCTAGGAATATCAGTGTGCGAATTTTGGATCTTTGTCGATTTGGTGTGCTGCAGCGCAAGTATCTGTAATCTTAGCATGGTGTCAGTGGACCGTTTTCTTGCTCTCTCCCACCCTTTGACTTATCTCTCAATTATGACCAAGCGTCGAGCCTTCATAGCGATAGCCCTGGTGTGGGCTTACTCAGTTTTCATAGCAGCTCTCTCATTCACTGGACCATGGTCTCCTGATGGTTCCATGACGTCCATCCCGGCTTGCCACAAGAAAGATAAGTACTACTACACATTTGCGATCACTGTTAGCTTCTTCTTACCAATGATTATCTTAGTCATCAATTATTCCCTGGTATTCAGGGTGGCTTTAGTGCAAGCAAGAAAACTTCGCCTACTTTCTAATCACTCGAACTTCGATACYGCTGAATCCTCAGAGTTCGTTAGCCTCAACGGAGGCACCCGTCAGCAAGACCGCCAAAGCGTCGCTAGTATAGGTCGAATTGATCGCAGACAGAGGAAATCCATAGTACGTGAACTCAAGGCGACCAAAACATTGGCTATCGTGGTTGGCACATTTATCATATGTTGGGTACCATTCTTCGTTATCATGCTTATAGTTCAATTTTGCCCGGAATGTGTTTATGATAAATCTATTCTCAATGAAACAGCACAGAAAGCTATTGGGACAGTATTTGTTTATGTTTTGCCGCTATTGAACAGTGCGGTCAATCCAATAATTTATTCGAGCTTTAACACTGATTTTCGTAGGGCTTTCAGGGACATATTATTTCGTCTGTGCATGTTAAGCCGTCGCAGTGGCCGGTCAGATATTCATGTTGGAGCAAGATCGATGAACGATCTCGACCTGGACAACGCAACAATGGCTACGGTTCAAGCACTCAACATAAACACAACTAAAGATTACAAAAAACTACTTCCGAACAATGTTTACAAGAACGGTAACACACCAAAAATCGTTATCCACGAGGTGAACTCGGAAAATCAGGACGAAGAGATGGTAGCTAATGAATGACATATCAGAGAGTAAATTATTATTGTTTAAAGTAACCAAGATTATCAAGAGACCAGGCAACAGAGTTTTTGTTGTGACTAAAGTATTAAACTCGCTTTTCAATTTTCCATTCTTCTATTTCTCATCATCTTATGTTATTCCAAATGGTCTCAAATTGTGTAAGGCACGGAAGGAATAACCACCATTTTTTTGACACAACTAACTGAGTTATGATCGTTCGCTAACTGGTCCAGCAAAGTAATATCAAACGCTCCAACTCTACGGTGCGCGGTATTACAATTTGTTTGGTAAGCAGAGGAAAAATCGATATATCATGTATATTACAATCTGTGGTTGTCTTATTTAGCTTTGCTCGAGCATCGCACTGAACACCGGCATATGTAACTGTTTATTAGTCGTGAGTAACTAGATATAGTTGCTGAATAAATGTTTTGCAATATTTCAGTAATCATTCCGAACATTCAATCATCTCTTTAATAATTTTTTTCATATGTGCGCGTATGTATATATCTATACATATATACATATATACATAACCACATATACATTTCCATATACATACACAGCGTAGAATAGATGACATCCACGACTGAATAACCTACTAGTCAAAAACGTTATTATGCAAACGTTTCGGCCGCTATATCTTTACCATACTTCAGTTGGCGAGTGCCTTGGCATCAACGTTGTGTATCTGAAATATCTATTTTACACACGTGTGTATTAAATGAAGTTTCCCAGTCTGCGAGACTTTTTTAAGACCAAAGTAGTACTAAGGATTTTCCAAGTTTTTAAGTATATAAGTGAGTGATGACAAAGTTATGAGAGCATAAGCTCCCAGTGCCTCAAGGAAAAAAACAAAAAACGCATAAATTATTCCTTTACCATCGACTAAAAACCCGAGCGTTAAGTGAGCATTTGTTTGTAGGGTCTCGTTATCGTCAGATCACTGTAGAAAGCCGTGGTCGCGACCTCTAAAAAAAAAACAAGATCCCACAAATTTACTTATTGATTTCGAAAAGAGAAACAAAAAGATCTCAGGAAAATTTGTATGAAATTTATTATTTTCTTAGACGAAAACCTACTTATCGTCAGATCACTATAGAAAGCCGCGACCTTTAAAAAAGCAAGATCCCACAAATTTAATTATTGATTTCGAAAAGAGAAACAAAAAGATCTCAGAAAATTTGTTTGAAATTTATTATTCTTTTCTTAGACGAAAACCTGCTAAGTAAATAGGAAAAGGAAAGCTATTGTTTTGGTTCAGAAAAGACGGCGGATAATGGCAGTGTTCAATGTTGTCATTCAATTCAGCTCACATAATATACTGTTAAGAGCTAATTTTTTTTGAATAATCGAAACCAAGACTAGCACTAAAAAAAGAAAATTACAATGGCAAATTGGTTTTCAAACAAATATTTCTGGCAATAATATTCGTTAGTAAATATATCTATTTTGATTACTGACGTGTCTCTAGCGATTGATATAATTCATTTTATATGCGTGTGGGGAAATTTCCATTTATTTATTGAATAAGGACACATAATTATTTTATTCTATTTTGATATTAGTTTTTATTTTAGTCTTTGGGAAAAACACATGTTTAAGCTTGATTTCAAAACTGTAATGTTTGGAATTACTATTTTCAGAKTCTTTTAGTCGCTAGTGGGTTTACAATGTATTCTCGTTGGCCAACTTTGTTAACTTGACAACGGCACACTTCAAACTCTGTTCATGCCTGATTTTTTATCTATAGATAGCGGGGGGAAATGTAACGCGCCGTAAATTAATAATCAAGTAACGGCAAAAAAAATTTTAAAAAACGGAAAAAAATGGAATTGAAGGAAATGTGAAAAATGTAAAATTTGTAGTGCAGATAAGTCGATACGAAATTCGAGCATAGGAAAGAGAAAGTCAAACAGTACTTCGTGGCTGTTCGTTTAGTGTTATTTTAATTCGCTGTACGCCATTGTTAAGTCAAACAGAAACGACTCTACTTGACGCTCTGTTTTCATATTAAGTAAACATAAAATAGCCTTTATTTTTTGTAGAGATTCAGACAAGAAAAACAGTGCAAAAGAGCCATAGGAATAAACAGTCTGCCGGGATGACTATATCAATCTTGGTCGTCAAGTGTTCTTGTTCATCAATACGAATCTAGTAGTACTCCTACGGCAGGAAGAAACTCATACTYAGCCAGCCTATTCTGCGTCTACGAACACTTCGACCAAAATATCCAAGTCAGTTTGAACTTGACAGTTTGAATGCAAGCTGAAACAACATGGTGATGGACGCATCACTCGAGGAAATGAGACGAAACACAGACAGTTTYGCCTGAATCACCAAAGTCCAATGGGACATTTATTTACGAACACAACTGACACTTCGGTACTTATTAGAAAAGAAAAARATTAACGAAAAATTTCGGGTCCATGAAATTAGTGGTCACTACTTGTCAAGTCATATAYTTGACATACTGGGTTACACCAGACTTTAGAACAAGCAATCATTGGATCCCAATCGTTGATATTGTTCTAGATTTCTCATACGTCTGATTATTTTTCAAAAAAAAATTTTTGTTTTTTTAATTAAATTTTGTGTCAGAAAAGCAAGTATCATAAAGAAGTAAATTCTGATATTCGAGCTATAAATGAAAATCCATTGAATCCTTTAATGCGTCCAATAACCTTGAGTAAATAGACAGAATTAATAGAATTGATGAATATAACCCAACCAGTAAAAGTTTTTCGCTACCGCTTTACTAAATGATTGATAATGAAGGATAAAGAAARACAAATTCGAACCAATCAGTTTTGTTACTTGCGATTTTTCGGGAGGGCATTTAATAAAGGTATCAGATAGAGGTGATGTAATGACAGGCGACTCATCRGAACAGAGCACGAAGAACCTCCACGCTACTGTTAGGAATAAGATCATATTGTAAATATTCCTTAACACCTGTCTTGGATGTTTTCATCGATAAACACAGGCAAACCAACTTCAACTCTTCATGATGAACTCAAGTACAGAATGAGTTAAGTCCGTAGCGAAATAACAGAGATGGATATCTTTAGGGGGAATTTCAATTAAAAACATAACATAATGAATAGCTACTGTTCGTAGATAACAAAAAAGATCGTCAGGATTTCCATATACTCATCAGAGGTGACTGAGAGTTAGCAATATCAAGAGAACAAAYACAGCCGCCAAGTCAAATACAAATACCTGAATAAGCAAATTATATTTTCTTCTTAGCGAAAATGAACTTGAGATATGCATTAGGGAAGCAAATATACCATTTGCACTGGTTTGGAAAGATTGTAGATCTTGGCCTGTTGGCTGAGTGCAATGCGTGGTATGGCAGGCGGTATGAGAAAGGAATACTTCAGTTTGTGATCAACTTAAAAATCATTAGTAACGAAGGCTCTTTATTCAACAAATAAAAGAATTAGTAGTTAAAAATACGATACTGAAACTCCAAGATTTCAGTTTTCGTGTGGTAAAAACTCTCGCATCAATATTGGCTCCAGTTTTATCGCGGGGAGATTAAATCGTTTCCCGCCTTACTCGATTRCGGCTTCAGGCTGATCTCATATCATATTACAGATGATATCATTAGACTACGAACAATATGGTTAATAAAGGATTTTGGTTTTAAAAATTCCTAAGTAAATGAAACGACATTCATTAACTAAAATCGTGTTATGAGCCCTTTCTGTCATACAGAAAGCATGTATTAGCGACGGGCGAAACAATAGCAGTTTTTTTGTAGAGGATACATGTTTCACGGCTGAAGACTTRCAAATGAAGTACCTTCCAATATATCACGAAAACTGTGCTCGTTAAATCTTTGACGTCATGAGGTTTCTCTCTTTTCACAAAACATGTATCAGTATATTTTGAGTTGCTCAATGCAAAAATAATCAAAAATATTAAAATATATATATTCAATATATCACGAAAACTGGGCTCGTTAATTAAATCTTTGACGTCACAAGGTTTTTCTAGACAGTTCACAAAACATGTATCAGTTGCKTTTGAGTTATTGATGTAAGGAATCAGGTTTCATTCTTGGCTCTCCTGTTTTACACTCTCCACAAAACCTAACAAGCTAAATTCCAATTCGATCTCTTATGTTTTAGCCATTGATCAGCCCAGAGGATTTTTCAGAGTTCGAGRAAAAATTGGAGTTAAGCGTGATTAATTTTGGTATCGAAAATCCCGAAAAAAATCCGCCTACATCCCTCTAAATAGATAATTAATACAAGAAATCTACTTTTTGTCAATGAAATATTTATTCATCCAAAAGAAGCGGTAATTCAAAACAACCAAAAATACTGTATTGGCTAGCATCAATAACCACATGAACCATCTATCGATTATTGCTGATATATGAAAGCCGGCGCTTTCTCAAGCGTCTATTACAAAAATTGGCCTCATTTTTCAAAACCTTTCGTTTCATTACCCAAAATGTATTTTTTAAATACAACCAGCCTGCATGAGACTAAAASATTCGTAGCTCCTCCTCTAGCTATTTAACCTCCTACCGGATTTCAAATAATGACCATTCACTTAGTTTCTCTAGTTTAATTATGGATGTAGAGTCGGTCGGGGTATCGCATGTAATCTTATCCAACTATACCAACTACAAATTTCGTGYATCTTGCTAATCTTGTTCATGAACAAAATGGCGATAACGGATAATTTTTCAGGACGTAAGCTCTTAATACTTCATATTTAGGGAGATAAGAATGGAAGAGTTGACAGCTTAGAGGGCTTTGTATCTGTGTTGTTTTAGGTTCCTAGGAAGACGGCTGGGGTGTTGGCCAACTATGTTGCTAATGAGAAGTAATACAAATTTCATCGAAAGACGAACGTTAAATTTGACTTTAAATTTCTGCTATAAACTTGGAATCCATCTTTTTTTTTTAACATGGAATCCATCTTAGTTATGACTCGTTGGTGATTCAAGGCTATATAATATTCGACAGCGCGGTTAGGATAAAAAAAAAAAACTGAATTTATATGTTTTGTGGTGTTATGGGAATGACGGGATCGAGACAAAATTCAAATTTCAAAAGATTCATTCATTCCTTCATTGATCCCGAGCAAGGTGCTACAGAGTTATTGCTTTCTTTTTTTAGGAAATTGGTTTCTCAGTATCATGCTGGCAGTAATTAAAATACAATTTCCTTAGTGAAAACACTGACGGTACCACATGCTAGCGTACGTGCTAATCCAAATAGAAACTGAGTTAGTTAAACTTGTTTAAAGAAACGACATAGTCGCAGGTGTGGTACAATGTACAAGAAGCAGATATTCTGTTAAATTTGCGCTTTGCAAAAATTCTRTWAATAAAATRAATATCGATATATSGGGTSCATRTAATCATAGTGTACATTGTATAAGCATTAATACTAGGTATTTGGCTAATTTTTGATTGCGAATTGT